GCATGTGCAGTGAAAACAAGTCTGTGCTTGATTATTTCTCAACTGATTTTCATGAAGCTTACTTCCTTGTCAACGGCAAAGCACGTGCTACCATTACAGGAAAATGATTTTTGAATATGTTTTTGGAGACGTCCACAAACATTGAATGTGGCAACACTTTGCCTGCATGAGCTTTAACATCGCTGGAGTCACGGGCGTCATATCTATCTCATGTTCGGTTGTTCACAGCTATGATAATGACATGAAACCCACTCGGTTCCCAGAATGCATTGCAAATATGCACCAGGAGACTGAGACTGCCGCTTTAACTGTTGCCGTTTGCCAACGAGTAAACATACCAATTGCTACTTTCCTATTAGCCGTTTGATCATCTTTTTGACTCGATGATACGCAGATGCTTTCGTATTTTAAACACATTTGCATATTTATTATTCACGAGTAAGGGGCAAGTGTTCTCGGTACACGCACGACGTTTTGGCTGATCTGCCATTCTCACTCATGCTTCTTGCAGCGTTGTCGCTCCCGGAGTGTACGAGCGAGGGTCCCGCGTCCCCCCGCCTACTCCCCACGCTGGCAGAGCAGCTTCTGAGCTACAGCGACAACGTGGAGAATGAGGAAGACGACGAGGAAGAGGAGGCGGTGGTACTGCCACACGCCGCACAAATGTTTTCGTTGCCACCGCGACGCTCATTTTTACTCTCTGGCCTCCCACTCGCCAGGTTGACATGGCAACGCTGGCGGAGCAAATCATCGAGGCGACTCCGGAGCGAATCAAACACGAGGACTTCACCAGGGGTGCCGAGTCACTGCTCTGTGAGAGGCGGGATGTCCAGGACACCTGGCTGGCGACCTACCTGGACACGGTCGACGCCCACACGCAGCCCCTACCCAGGTAGCCCCCCTTGACCTGTGGTTTCATTGCAAAAATTGGCCTTAAAGTCCACTTATAATAATAATACTTATGTAATTGGCAGTGTACAGCTTGTCCACAGTGGTCTCCATTTGTGCAGGCGGGTGTGTCCCCCCTCGCCCCTCAGCGCCTTGGCCCTCCAGAGGCTGCGGCCGCCCTCCTCGGCGGCGTGGGCCGAGTTTCTGAACGCGTCTGCCAATGGCCGGATGGAGCGCGACTTCGCCTTGCTAACGCTGACCGATGGCGAGCAGAAGGAGCTCTACGAGGCCGCCAGGATCATCCAGAACGCCTTCCGGAGATACAAGGTGAGCTTTTTACATTTGCTTGTACTGCCCCCTACTGGGCCTCTGGCTCACTGCTTCGGTGTGCTTGTTGGCATCCGCGCAGGGTCGCCGGTTGAAGGAGCAGCAGGACATGGCCGCAGCAGTCATTCAGAGATGCTACCGCAAATATAAACAGGTATGTGGATGCTATTTTTTTTTTATGATGTTTCCATCTTTTTATCCTCAGCGAAATGCAGTTTCTGCTTGTGACAAATCTGAAGTCTTCTAAGGCCATATATAGCCCGGCCCGAGTTTGTGTCCTCCATCTTCACTAACACTTCACTGCTGTCTTTCTACCTCTCTCTCTGGCTAGCTAACATGGATAGCTCTCAAGGTAATATGGTGACCAGTAGATGTAGATTTGTGTGCGTGTATGCATGTGCGTAAGTGGGAGAAGCCCTCCGTAAACGAGGCGATGGAACTGCACAACTGTGAATAAACCATTCACCCCGACAGAAACGTTAGGCTCCGAACCCTTTCCGTCTGCAACCCTTTGCAACAGAAAAGACATTAAGTCCCAAACACTACAACATGCAACCCATTGAGTCGGCAAACCACTTAAGCTTGGAATGCGCCCATCTGTAACCAGTTTGGGAAGCAAACTGGTTCAGCCCGTCGCAACCCATGTAATCAGAAAAATATTACGTTACTAATGCGCCACATGTTTAAGCAGGAAAAAGGTTATCTCGCTAACATGTTTTTTCCTTGGCCCCGCCTCCCTAGTACGCTCTCTACAAGAAGATGACCCAGGCGGCCATCTTGATCCAGTCCAAGTTTCGCTCGTACTACGAGCAGAAGCGCTTCCAGCAGAGTCGGCGCGCGGCTGTGCTCATCCAGCAGTACTACCGCAGCTACAAGGAATATGAGAGGCTCAAACAGGGCCCAGGCGGCGGCACAAACCACAACCCCAAAATCAAGTAAACGAGCGGTCAGCGGCTGTCATGTGTGCAGGTCAAACGGCTTATCCGGTGTTGATGGTGAGCTTGCTTTGTCCACCAGGGGGACCTTCCTGACCAAGAAACAGGACCAGGCTGCACGCAAGATCATGAGGTTCCTGAGACGCTGCAGGCACCGGTAACGCAACACTCATACACACAAGCACCCAATGATGAGCCTGTTATTTGACACTCGCGTTGGCGCAGGATCAAGGAGCTGAAGCAAAATCGGGAGCTGGAAAGACGAGGCCTGACCACGTAAATTCACCCATCGGTGCCCTGATGAATGTAGTTCCCGGCAGGGAGCGCACGGAGGCAAATGTCCATCTCTATTCTTATTGACTTGTTGGTACACATGTACCCATACATATAATACACGGGACTTTTGAAATGCTTTTATTTATGACTGCTTTTGAGTCTTAATGAACTGAACTGTGATTGTGAGGCCGCAGTCTAACTTGTTTTGCATGATGCCATTGACAAAGGAGGCGTGTAGAGAAAATATCGCCTTTAATTCAGACACGCTTTGAACCTCAACAAAACAAAGCATCGTGAGACGTGTAGTTCACATGCTTTGTGTGTATGTGTATAAAAACAAAAGCAATTATCAATATCTGATCCACAATGAAAACAAACTAAACAATGACTAAACGAGAACAGTGTGTATTGTCAACATGGGCCGGGGAACAGCTCATCACATGCCTTGTCTGATACTTTGGATGATCTGGAAGATGGCTGCAACAAACAAAACACAAACACACATTGTAGTGCAGGACTAAGTGTTGGTGTCTTTAAGAACTCACCTGATCCACAAACCACGAACACGAAAAGCGCCAGAAGCCACGGACCCACCGGAGACTTCTCCTCGTTGACTGGCCTCTGCAAGGCATAAGTCCCGCAGTCATTTCGGAGCGGAAGCAACTCATTGCCGTTAAGGACGTTTTCAACACAAAGATAAAAGACAGGTTAGCCCGGTTAGCTCAGCTGTAGGGTACCAACCGAGGTTTTCTGGACGTGTCCCCGCTGCGTGATGGTCTTGCTGTGCCGCTCGTTCGCCACCTTCATTCGCTGCACCGCCGACATGTTTGCGCGGGTGAGACCGGGACGGGAGGGCGACGACGCGGATTACTGCCGAAAAAAGAGCCGTTGCCCCTCGCGTCCGATTCTAACTGTTAGCAGTAGTCAGACGGAGGCCAGCTCGTCACGTGACGTGCTGACGTTTCTTCGCGGCACTAACGCGTCTGGTGGGGGTTACGGCGCCACCTACTGGACAGTAACACAATAAGTTTTACTCACCGAACCGATTTATCATCTCACACGAAAATTAGTCACTGTTAAATTTCCTTGTGTGTGTCCGCCCGGATCCTTTAGATTGGTCAAATGCAGTCAAACATCACTAATCATGTC